ATTTAGTTGGTGTAGACTCATTATGCTGTTGTTAAATGGCGAACACCTCCACCTGTAGTCCGCTCCAAACTCCTTGCTGTGCTGCCCACGAAGTTGCTCTGAGTTCCTCGTCGAAGTAAAAGTTCTAAAGTCTAAAGTTCAAACAGTTTTACCAAGTGTGTTTCAATGTCTCAGTTTTATCAAGTTGATTAGAGCGACACCGGTTAGGATCTCACGGTTCCCCCGTTCCGGTATCTTTATTTTGAACTTACTTAGTTTAAACGAGTTGTGAAACCCATTTAAGCCGGAGAGATCTCGTTAACAACCGTGGGTTACCTCCTCCGAGGGACTCCCGTAAGTTCGGAAGAACGTATTATGTTTTTTTTTTTTGAAAATGTTGTTTAATTTTGAAAAATCGTTTTGTTTTGAATGGGATTGTGTTCAGTACATGCATAATGTGTTAGAGCAAGAGTAATTGCAATAAAGAAGCAACAACAACTAAAATGTACATGCGTACGTGGCGTATCTACTGCTGCTATTCCTGTTGCATGTTTAACTCACAAAACACAATATAATTTGCAAGGATTTTAAATAAATTGCAAAGAATAGAAAACAAAAAACAGAAAACAGTAGAACAAGTTGTAGTAAAAGCTAGGAATTCCAAAAGGGGTGATCCTAGGGCCTCCTACAACTCCTGACTGCAACTAGCGAGCTATTATGGTGATTCTACGATCTCCTACGGCTCCGATAAGCAACTAGCGAATGTGTACGGCGATCCTACGACTCTAGACAACAGCTAGGAATTTCGAATAGCACCTGTATGAGTTCCTATGAACCCAAACAACAATGGGCAACACCTATGCGGCTTCCTACGAATCCGAACAGAGGTGGGCAGCAACTAGATGGCTTCCAAACGAACCCAAATCGTGGTAGACAGCTCCTAGGTGGTTTCCTACGAACCCAAATCGTGGTAGACAGCTCCTAGGTGGTTTCCTACGAACCCAAATCATGGTAGACAGCTCCTAGGTGGTTTCCTACGATCCCAAATCGTGGTGGGCAGCAACTAGAAGGTTTCCTACGAAATTGGGTAGCAAATAGAGGCATTGGACAACGGTCCTACAGCTCTTACAGCTCGGGGCAGCAACTAGTAGGCTCGTACGGCGATCCTACGACCTCCTAACACTTCAAACATCAATTAAATGATATCCAAACACTCCAAACAGCAACTATATGGACTCCAAATATGCCAAAACAGCAACTAAACCCTTCAAACATTCTCAAACAGCAACTATATGGCATTCAAACGTTCCAAACAGCAACTAAACCCTTCTCCCAAATCTCTTACAACATCCTACAGAATCTCCAAATGCTTGAACAGCAACTGGCAAGTGTATGATTTCGGATTTTTGCAATAAGGTAATCCAAAATGAATTTCCAACTAACATATGGCTTGCAACAAATGCAGTCCAGCTAGATAGATTTACATATATACCACATAATTCTTATATATTTGCATATATACCACATAGAAAAAAGAAAACTTTATACATTTGCATAACCTGAATCATTTGTATCACATAAGAAAGTTCGCCAATTTAATTTTTAAAGAGTGAAATATTCTGGTTCATGCATAGCCAGTGTGGATTGTCTGTAAAAAAGGTATCCGACATGTGAATATATACAAACTGTGTGGTATGTATGTAAATTTCTCAAAGAAAGGCTCTTCAATTTGAAGTTCCAACTCTATATATGTTCTCTGATTTTCAAAGAGTAATTTGGAATAACTTCCAATCAAGTATATGCAATTTGAATTTCAAGAACCCTCAAATTCTCCTTTTCTTTTCTTGCATTTGATTTATAGCCAATTTCTTCTCGCTTTGTTAAGATTAACATATCAAAGAACAGGAAATTGAGAAACTGACTGCACCTTAAATTTTTCATAAAAAGTATTCGAGAAAATAAAAAAAAAATGAAATTTGCTAAAGAAAATTCTCCAAACGAATCAGATTTAAGGCTCTCTGACTGCTTAAAAAAAATTCATACCTTTAACATGCACCGTGAGTCACCAAATTTAGACAGGCAGAGTAAGAAAAACACTCAGGACACTCAGCAGAGGTGAAGATGCAGGAGAGTTGTGGAGTGGGCGAAGCAAGCAAGCGCGTCGAGAAGGGTATGCGAGGGCTTCGGCGTGAGGCAGGGGAGTTCGGTCAAGCACGATTCTCCGTCGCAGGGAGGAGAAGCGAGCAGGAGCTTCGATCGGGAATTGCGATTGAGTCACATAGGAGTAACGAGAACGAAAGGAGCAGTCGAGCGGCTCTTCTGTCGCGCGCGAGAAGGAGGAGCAGGCGAGCGGTCGAGCGGCTGCTCTGTCGTCCACGAGAGGGAGGAGCAAGCGAAGCCGTCGAGCGGCTGCTCTGTCGCACACCAGAGGGAGGAGCAAGCGAAGGCGTCGAGCGGGTAGGAGCAGGCGAAACGGGAGAGCAAGCGGACGAGCTTCCTGCTTGCAGCGGAAGTACGACAGGAATCGGAAAGTTGAGCGGAAGCGAACGGGAGAGAAAAGCTCGGGAGAAGCGAATTAAGTCAACCAGCCGAGGAAGAAGGCGTTCCTTCCTCTTAGAATTGGAGCGGGAGCCATTACTCTGGAACCCATTGGCGGGGAAATAAAAGATTTCCAAATGCAGGGGCGGGAAATAAATGATTTCCAAATGTAGGGGCAGAAAATAAATGATTTCCAAATGGAGGGGAGGATTAGGGGAGGATTAAATGGAATTACAGGGAGGTTTAAATAGGTCTTAACACCTGAATTAACCTTAATTAAGACAAAAATTAAATAATTCATTTGAATTTTGAAATTTGAATTTCAAATTCAGGTGAGCTGGTATCTGGCCCGTGTTCAGCCCGAGTCCGACCTGAGTTGAGCCCGGGCCCGAGCACCGCTAAAAAAAAAGTGCATCGATATCCGTGCAGTTCGCGCGAGTGTGGAACCACAGCAATATGGGTGTCATTCCTAGCTAAAGTCGCCGTTCCAGACGCATCGGCGGGGTCCGTTTTGTCATCCGGGGTCGTACGGACGAGTTCGCCGGCGGACGAGTCAAATCAAGTCAAAGTCGTGTGTGGTGCAGTGAGTACGCAAAATGCGGTGTTATAGAGCGTTCGTGTCGCGAAGGGGTTCCCTAGGGGTTGCTCCTATTAATGTAGGAACTCGACTCAAGTTTCATGTGTCAGTTCTCATTAACTCAACGAAATGTCAAGGATTCAGGACCGCCCATGCGAAACTCGAAAGAGTGACGAGGTGGCTCGAATTTTCTAAATGGTTTGGGTTCCGTATTAGTCTTCTAGGAGGGTCAAACAAGAGAAGCCTAAAGCTAGACCCTAGGCTCTAAAAAGAGAAGTGAAGACCTCATCCGAAAATGAGGTCAACAAATGTACTATATTTATTTCCCATCCATTCTTAAAATACATGCTTTAAAAACACATCAAACCAAACTGCCATTCGCTCATGCTGTACTTCCAATCATATGTTTCATGATACAACAATTTATAAAATCATGGCTATGCCAACCTTTCTAAAGAAAACATGTAAAAGCACATTCAAAAAAAATTTATTAGGCATTCAAGTGATTACTTCAACAGACCGAATAAGAAAATGGGCAACAGAAATAGATCCAAAAATGACAAAATACTTAACTTTTGAATAACATCGATGATGTTAACATGTGTAGGCAGATACAAAAGTTAACACAGAATTCTTGAAAACCAAGTTTCATTGCATAGGAAAAATGTTTGTTAAGATGAAAATCCAGGTGTGTGGAACTGTGTTAAGAGAGTTAAGAAGGTTAATCAGAAGTCAAAAAGTATTTCAAATTGAGAATAAACTGAATATGTAAATTAGCATGAATAACTTTATGCCATTAAACCCAGTGGATGTGAGCACTAACGAAAATACGGCCACATAGGATTTAAACAGTACATTTAAGTGCAAAATTAAAGGTTATCGATAACAAATCAATATATCATCAGCAATCCCCGCCCTTTCAAAATTATCAAGAATAGTTCCTTAATTTCACATTAAGCTTAATATGGATTGCATCTCTCATCTCTATGCTTTTATTGCTCCTTTTTGCCACTTAAGTACAGATTTCAAGGTGCCACATTCTACTTTCTGTCCTTTAACGTCTAAAACAATTTCAAAGAGTTTTTTTTTGTCAAAGAATGAATGCAAACTAAAAAGGAATATTATGTAAAATAAATACATTGTATTTAAAACGCTAAAATTTGTATGGTTCGGTGCAAAGTAAATGCAAAAGATATTTTTTTGTGTTTAGTTTCACGTAAAATGAATTTAGTGTAATGCTTCATGATGTTGGTTGGCGATGCTGCCAGATGGTTGCAACTAGCAACTACAAGCTACAAAGGGCAGGCAACTGCTAGAAATGGCAGCTATGACTGGTTGGAGGCAGCCAAAGGAAACTGTCTGCAAGCAACCTACAATGGCTATGGAGGCAAGCAAAGGGCAGCGGATGGTAGGTGGCAAATGCAGCGGAGGTGGGCCGCCAATGGCAACGATAGGCAATCGTGCCAAGTAGTCTACGATGGCTAATGGGGGAGACAGAAGAAAATGAAACTTCTCTTACACTGTATTTAAAATTTAGCTAAAAATGAAGCAAATTCCAAATACTTCAAAATTTTACATTGCATTCATTTTTCACCAAAACCAAAGAGTTAATTTTAAAAAATCCTATATTCTTTTCACTTTACACCCATTTTTCAAACACCCTCTCAATCACTTTAGAAAGTATGTGAGAAAACTGGCATACACCTAGCAATCACTGAAATAAAAATCTCCAAAATTAAAATCCAGCCAAATGGTAATGTCTGATGAAGCTACTGCTATCAGCCATGAATTCACAAGATAGTAAATTACGCAAAGGACACTCAGATCATACACAAAGAATACAATGTAATACAATAAAATAGTTATTGTCAAATCATACTAAACTATAAGATTCCAGAAGTGTTACCATCTTTAGAATCACCTCCACCGCACCTTTCCCATCACCTAGGGCACCATCTATTTCATCAATGACCTTTACAGCATGAAATACCAAACCGTTAGTCTCATATTAAGTATAGCTTGATGGTATAAAAATAAAGCTCACCAAACATCTGGGTTTAGAATCAGAAATGACAGATGTCATCTGGACTGCATCAAGGATTTTTGATTCTAGCGTTGAAGATGACCTATCATCGCTTGCATTGATCTGCATAGAACATTTGTCAACATCTCATCAGTTTCATAAACAAACATGCTATCTAATACTAACTAAAAGCAGACAATACAGCCCTCGGTCCACATGCATTTCAATTTCAGCAACTTACTAACTAATCCTTTTTATAGTGCAATAGAAGTTGCTTTCACATATCTATAGCACAAAATATTTCCAACTAAAAGATTGGCATAATAATCAAAATCACTCATCCCTATATAAGGAGACACATAAAGAAGAGTTTAAACGCACTAAATTATGCTAAATCAAAGCAAATATGTTGGAAAACAGATAAATAAACAGTATGGCGCAGACCTCAACAACTCGGTATCCACAATGCTTAGCCGCTACATGTGCGAGTGTTGTCTTTCCGAGCCCTGGTGGGCCACAGAGTAAAAGTACCTGAAACATTAATAAGTGGTATTTCAGACTCTAAAAGAAACCCAAAAAGATGATCTCTTATGATCGTTGGATAGAGAAATCACAACAGGCAAACATTAACAGAAACAATTAACATCACCATCTTCATCATTAGCTTTTTATTTAAACAATAAGTTGTGAACTCTTAAAATAAATAAATGTAAACTTTTTCCCAGTCAACTTATAACAAATCCACTTCAAGAGAGAGAGGTTGTTCATGTTGCTACTTCTTTTTTCTGAATTTAAATTTTGTGCAAGCATGATTGCAGTCTCCAAAAATTCAAACCCAGCTCTTCTGCGAGAGTATGGTTTCTTTATCAAATTTTTTGGAGAGGTCATATATTAAATAAGATACTATCAGAATATTTTGGCCTAAATTTTTTAGGACTTTATAGTCTAATTTCAGATTTCCTATAGATGTTAAGTCAACATAATTAATTACCACTCCTAATTACAATAAAGTACTTATAATTAAAGTTAGTCGGTAAGTGCCAAAAATTAAGCATAAAATAATAGTAATTTTAATTGAGGATGAGAAAATTTTCGATAATCAGCTTATAGCAAATAGCAAGAAGACCGATAACGATTCCGATCAAGATCATATAACTTGGTTCTTTAAAATTCTCACACACTCAAGTGTACTTAGTCAAAGGAGATGGCTAACCAAACCTAACAAAATAATCCTTACTAGACAACCATGAGTCGTGTTGCCTAAGATTCAAGTCGATGTAAACTAATGAAACGCTTTGTCTTATCTAGCGCACTCCATGCTTCACCATTAAACCAATTAAGACCTTGCAGAATTTACTGGTTTAATTATTTGAAATAACACTCAATCAGAGCCTCAATAATAACCGGGCCACTTTTATGCCATTTGATGGCAAAATCACATTGATACATGTCTCTATACTAGAATGAAATTTTTAATAATGGTCATAAATATATACTTAATTTGATATTAGCTCTTGCTTCACCTTCATCTAACTATTACGAAAGTTGAATGAATATTTGCTATTACCTGTAAGCGATAAATCTCTTGAATATTTTAGATTTCAAAAAATATTTAAATATTCATACTTTATTGAGATTGAAGCTAGAAATTGTTTAATTTAGGATTAGATGCTATTTAAAAAAATTCCCGACAATTAAGATATATTGTCAACAAAGTTGTTGTTTACTAGTTCTCAAATGCAGAGAAATCATGTCTTAACTCGGTATAATTTTCCACCACAGAGATTGAGATGTAAATGATAGCCCAATTTTTTACATGAAAAAGATCTTGGAAAGGGAAAAAAACTAAGGTGTCTAACACGGTCAAGGTAATCCATTAGCAAATTGAAAATACAGATATTCACTCTTCTTCTGAATTAAGGAATATGGGATTACTAAAACAGACAATCAAACATTATATTAGTAGTTTGGTTTCATCAGCCATAATTGGGCTACAAGAATAGTAATAAGTTGTTATAATGGTTGCAAGTATCTTAAACTATTATTGGTGGTGGTGGACGACAAACTTTGGTGGCTAGCAACAACTAGTGAAACTTCAAGAGTTAAGCTTTAATAGTCAACTCACTCTCTTATTTTCTTCTCCCCCATTTCAAGTAAATGAATGAAAGGGGTTTATTTGTAATTTTTTAAAGTCATTTTGGTAAATTTGGTCAATCTCTCAAAACACTTCATCAAATGGTGCACAATGATTCCCTGATCATGGGTAATTTTTCAACATTTAAGTGCCTTAATGGCATCCAACCTGAATGATCTTGGACTCATTGAGACGCTCTATTTGAATATAAGCATGTCAATTTTTGACATTGTTTGACCTTCTAATTGATGCACCAAAGCATTTGACTATACTTCAAGTATGTGATCTAGGCTCATTTGGACCCGGATTGGATTACTTCAAACATCACTAGGTTCATCTTGACGAGATACTTAATTTGATTATAAACTCGATGAAATCGGAGCCAAGATGATCTTGAATTTGAATTCAAAATATTTCTTGCTCGCAATGCTTCGGGAATCATGTCTGATGATAAAAATTTATTAATGACACATCAAAGGTCATCATCGAAGAACGAACGTTCACATCTTTCGTTTTCACTTTGAGAGCTTTATTTCATCAGTGTCATGGCCATGCCTAAAAGCTTGAAATTTCCATATTCGATAAAAGACAACTCAAAAAATGGTCTATGAATCCTTTCCATTGCCCAGAGTTTGTGAACCATCCAGGTATGTCCTCATTGACCATTTACATCATGTTCAATCCATTTCACCTTTAAGTTTTGAACATTCTAATTCTGAACCTAAGCTTAATGAGTCTAGTCTTTCCATTGTAGCTTGTAAGGTGAAAGGCCTTGCAGCCAACATTCATTATCCCATTATGAGTCATATAAAAATCTCTTACCCACTTTTAGAGTTTTTATCTGATAATTGTCTACTTTAGAGATTTCTAATATTGTGCAGGATACCCTAAGAGTTCCTAAGTGGAATGAGGTTGTCTTCGAGGAGATGAAAACTCTTTAAAAAAATGACACTTCAAAATTGGTTGATCTACCTAGAGGGAAGAAAATGATCAGGTGCAAAAGAGTGTTTACAATCAAGTATAATTTCGATGGTTCTCTAGAAGAGTGCAAAGCTCGATTGGTTGTCAAGGGATTCACTCATGCTTATAGCATTTATTGCTTAGAGACATTTGTCCCAGAAGCAAAACTAAATTTTATAATTCTTCTGTCACTTGCAACTAATTTTCACTGGCCCCTACAATAGTTTGATATAAAAAATATATTTCTCAATGAGGACTTAGAGAAAGAAGTGTATATGGATTTATCTTCAGGATTTAGTGAGAAATTTGGCAGAAAGGTGTGCAAGCTATAATAAAAAAAAAACCTTATGCGGATTGAAATAGTTATTGAGTGTGTTTTGAGAAATATGTATATGAATGGTATAATTCTAAACTTCCCTATCATTTATTTTTGAAACCATGGACTTGAGATCTCTGATGAATTTTCTGGGCATGGAAATTGCTAGATCAAAGAAAGGAATTGTTGGTCCCCAATAAAAATATGTTTTTAATCTTCTAAATGAAATTGAGATGAGTGGGTAATAAGCCTTTAGAAACTCCAATTGATCCCAAACAGAAACTAGGAATGAGAAAGAAGGTTGCCCAATGAATACAGTTCAGTATAAAAAATTGGTGGAAAAATTGATATATTTATCAAATACATAGTCAAATATCGATTTTATTGTGAATTTGGTAAGTCAATTTATGTATTTGCCCTATGAAAACAACTTGAAGTAGTTAAGAGAACTATATATACCTAAAAGGTACACCAGGCAAGGACTTACTCTTTCAAAAGACCACAACAAAATTTAGAAGCGTACAGTGATATAGATTGGGCACGCTCAGTTATTGATAGGAGATCGGCTTCTGGATATTGCGCTTATTAGGGAAATACGGTTACATGGAGAAGTAAGAAATAGAATGAGGTGGTGAGTAGTGTAGAGGTAGAATATAGAGCTATGCCCAATGGAATATGTGAGATATGTAGAGGTAGAATATAGAGCTATGCCCAATGGAATATGTTTATGGTTGGAAAGAATTTCTGAAAGATGCGGAACACGATAAATATGCCAATGAAGTTGTACTGTGATAATAAAGCAATCATAAGCATTGCAAAAAATCCAATGCAGCATGATCGCACAAAACATGTGGAGTTTGACAAACACTTAATAAAAGAGAAATATTAATTGTGGAGCTATCTGAATTTTTTTATTCCTATTGCTCAACAAATATCTAGCAGATAGTTATCTTCACCAAGGAATTTTTCAGGATTAGCTACGAGCTACTTGTAATCAAGTTGAGCGTAATAGAAATTTTAATTTTTAGTATCTTCTATTTTAATATTCCTACTTTTAGAAGTTGTTACTGTTCGTAAGTTGTAATTTCCGTTTACTGGTTTTAGCATGGGATTTTATGTTGATTTTGTGGCTTTCCTAATTTGGTAGCCTTCCTCCTACTATTTATCCTGTAAACGTTTCTTATGAAATTGAAAAAGAATAATTATTTTCCTTCTCCAAAACTTACAATATCAAATAAGATGGTGACATAACTATGACCTAAAAACATAAATCAACAATATAACATTGACATAATAAAACCACTAAAAGAAAAATGCAACCATCTACTTGCTAGACTAAGACAGGATAATCACAACAATGTCCCTCTGTTATTATGTTACACTGAATTCTTGATCTAAAAACTTTCGTATTTGAACTTTTCACTCCAAACTACCTTAACAAGATATCAAAAATAAATAATAGTTTTATCTCATACTAGTTTAGGCCTATGGACAAAAACTAGCAATGAAAAAATTATCAAAAAAGTTTATAAACTTTATTATATAATATATTTGTAGCAATGCCATAAATACTCATTCTTTTTTCTCGTTGCTAGACCTTAAGTTTCATTTAGTTTAAAATTCTTTTAGAAAATGTCATATTAATTATATTAAACTTCTTAAATGAAACTGAAAAGAAAAATCACAAGTGACAGATATATTTACCAAGCATGAGAATTTTTAACTTCATTTAAATTGTAACAAAAAAGCACTGATATTTTAAATAGCACAGCAAGGTAGACTGATTGCTTCATGATTTCTTTAATGCTTTAAATCTTCAAGGAAAAATGCCTCTTATCACACACCTTTTGCTCAGGAGGATGATCAACTGTAGCTTTCTTATTCCATGATGCAGAAGAACCATTTAAATTCTCATTTTGTCTATCCGGTGCATTCCAAGGCTTGAACTTTTGATGGGAAAAAGGAGATTTACCCTGCTCAAAAATGGTGTTGCCGTCGGAAATTTTTTTATGTTGGATGGTTGAATGACACCGAAGAGCTGATAAAACATCATCAGTGGTCAACCTAACTTGAGAGCCAAATACAGATGAATCCCATTGCTTAAGCCACAACAGCACCTGCAGTTGGGAGCCTATGAATTTTGACTTCATAAAATAATGGACTAAATAACTAAATGTGTAAATTAATTTAAAAAATATAGAAAGAACTTGAGCCACAACATCCTTAGTGTACCTCTCTGTTAGTTTGTTCATCACTTAGAAGCTCCGTGAAAGAGCATGGAGCATACTTTTCAGCCCAAAGCTTCTCGCTAAAAGTTGGCACTTCTGAATGAGTTAGCTGAAATGGTGAGTGAACCTTTTCTTCAAAGGCCTTCAAAAAAATTTGCGGTCAGTTAAAAAATCACCCCTTCAAAAGTGAGATTTAAAATTAAAGAAAAAGATTGGTTTTTAAGACCGCGCCAAGAAAGTAAGCTCCTTGCACATCATTATGCAAATGAGGTTCCTGTAAGAATGAAATTATTTTTCACAACATCAATATGTATTGGCCCAATGCTCGATTAGTCAGGCATTTGATTCCAATTCAGATCATCTGTGTACATATGTCGTTTTAGAGTTGGACACTAAAAGCTATAGTTTAGATTGATTTACTTTGGTTTCGATTGGCTTCTTCAGTTTGTCTAGTTCAATATGGTTTTAACAAAAAGTATAAACTATGAACAATATTTTAAGTTATAAATTTAAGATCAACATTTTGGTTTGGATTAAATTTCTTAAGAAACGTAAAATATAATATGGTTATATTTAGATGATGCACGCCATGCCAACCTAGTGCTTGCCTATTCAAAGTGAGAAGTTAATAAGAAAATTAATTATATTATATAATAAATTTATTTTAATAACAAGGTAAAATTTTAGGATAGTTGAGAATAAAGTTATCAGAAAAGCTCGTTGTTCACGAATAGCTCGTGTTCATCTTGTTAAGTAGCTCGTGTTTGAGTCATTAGTAGTAAGCGAGTCAAACGAACAAATTTATTAAGCTTGGATTATAAGTAATTCAAACAAGAACAACTCTTTGTTCTATCGTGTTAGCTTGTTTTAGCTTAAAACAAAGAAATGATATATATTATTTCTATAATAATATATTATATATAATCATGTATAAGTTTTAATCACCACAACTCTTGTGGTAATGTGGTTTATGTCTTTTATTGCATAGAAATGAAACAGGTTTGAATCCACACCCTAAAACTATTTTTCTAATTAATTTTAACATGTCAATTTCGAGCATAACACGAGTTAAACATGTTCAAGAAAATGTAAATCGAGTCAAACACAAACACATTGTTCACGAGAAATTTCAAACACGAGCCAATTTTGAACATACTTAATTTTGAATGAGCCGACACGAGCCAAGACTGAGCTTGCTCATGCTCGACTCGTTTACCGCCCTAATTAAGAATAATAACCATTATGTTAAATTGTATTAAGGAAAAAAACAATTTTTTTAGTTACATTGCATTTTTATTTTAAAATCTTGTAACAGAAATTATCTTAAACAATTGTAACTATAATACTTAATTTATAGCATGAATATACTTAGCATGATTTTATCTTTACTATAATGTATCTTTTTTTCATTTGTAGCCCTTTTATCTCTTCCACTTTTAGGACTAATATTCTCTGTTTTAAAAATTTAACACTGTCATTTTTGGGTCTTAAGCGAATGCGTAAAGTGAAGGATTGCATTAAGTAATCAACAGCTAACGTAAATCGAAAAAATAATGATATGAATTCTTTAAATCATTGTGAAAATGTTAGAGCATCCCCTGAAAGCAACGAGTTCTATGGTCTGAATTCAACGAAAAGTGTGCAAGAGTCACAACACGATGTCCGATTGTAGTGTTAAATAAGCAAGGGTTCTCACATTATGAACGGATACGAATAAAAAAGTTAGTCCATAAAACTAATATTAAGATAGAATATTAGAATATACATACTCTCACAGATAAATTAATAGAATTAGATATTATGGTTCATATGAAGATAAATATCTTATATATTTAAGAAATTAAATGGGTTGAAAAAAAGACTAAAGAGATTGATAGCTTAAGTTATAAACTTTCATATTCAGGTAAGAGTCACACTAGAAATGGTGTAGGTGCAATTATAGATAAGAGTTGAAAAATAATGTTGCAAAAATTAATAGAATTGAAGATAGAATTATAGCACTAAAGATTGTTGTTGATACTAAGTTTTTAATATTATAAGTGTTTACACTCCTCAAATAGATTTAAATATAGATTCAAAAGAAAATTTTAGAGAAACATTAATACAAATAATAACTCTTGAAGAAATAATTTTTATTTAATGAGATTTAAATGTACATGTTGATATAATGGTAAAAGATTTTAGAAATATTCATGATCACTATGATTTTGGAGTGATTAATAAATATAGTCGAACTATATTAGATTATGCTTTAACGTATGATTTGTTATTTCTATTACTTTGTTTAAGAAAAGAGATGGGCATATTATTTCTTACTAGATCTAATAATGCACAAATTGATTATTTTTTTTGAGAAAAGGTATGGTTGATAATGTAAATATTGTTAGATCATTGATTATTAGTTCTGAATTTTAAAATGAAGAGTTGTAAGATAAAGAATACAATGAAACATTGTCATAGAATTAGATGAGAGCACCAAAAAGACAAATAAAATTATTTTTATGAGCAAACTTCAATATTTTAAGATTTGAAATGTTCATGAAGAAGTTAATTCAAAATGAGATAAAATTACAAGCACTATCAAGCAAGTCACAAAAGATGTACCTGAAGAATCAAAAGAAAAAGTTTTTATAAATAAAAATTATTAAAGTAAAATAATAATGTGTAAAAAAACATAAAATATATAAATTTATGCTATAAAAACTGATTTAAATTTGAAAGTTTAGAGAACTGAGAAAAACATACGGTCGCCCATAGAGAGTCTAATAAAACAATTTGTAACGCAAAGAATTTTACTTTTAGTGATTTTTATAACAGATTAAATACTAAAGAGGCTGAAAAATATATGTATAAACTAGTCAAACAAAGAGAAAAGAAAAGTAAAGATTTAATTCAACTAATGTGTATAAAAGATGAAAAACAAAAAATGTTTTTTCTTAGAGGAAGGTATTCAACATACGTGAGTGAGCTATTTTGATAAACTTTTCAATAAAGTTTATAAAAATATGATCGATCATAGTGATCTTAATATCATTAAAATAATAAAATTTTTTATTTTTACAGTCACATTAGTAAAAAGAAAGTTGAGCAGACTTTAAAAAAAATGAATGGTAGAAAATCATTAAGACCTAATGATATCTCAATTGAAGTGTGGAAATATATAAGAGATTTGGGAGTTTATTGGCATTCTAAACTCATTAGTATTATTTTAAAAACTACAAAATGCTCGAGGAGTGGAGGTCGGTACCTATTTTTAAGAATAAAAAGGGTGTGCAATGGTGTGCAATTTATAGAGAAATTGAGTTCACGTGTCATACTTTAAAATTATGCAAGACGATAATTCAACATAGGCTAAGGCATGATATAAAAATTTATCATAATCAATTTGGATTTATGGAGGGTAGCTCTATTATGGGAGCTATATATTTATTGAGATGTTTGATAGAGAAGTACAGAGAGAGTAACTAGTATTAACATATGATTTTTATTGATTTAGAAAAAGCATATGATAACGTTCCAAGAGAATTTCTTTGGAGAGTTCTAGAAAAGAAAGTGTTGATATGTATTATATTCAAGTCTATAAAGATAAGTATACTAGAGATGTTACTTGTGTTCAAATAGAAGGAAGATTGATCAAGTATTTTTTCTATTTTAGTTGGATTGCATCGGGCATCGGCTTTAAGCTCGTATCCTCTTGTGTTAGTTATGGATGTTCTTACTGGACATTTACCAGAGGATGTACCTTGTTGTATGATTTTCGTTGATGATATCCTTCTTGTGGCTAAGACTATAGAAAGAGTTAAAAAAAAAACATGATTTATGGAGGTCTAGATTGGAGTCTAAAGTTCAACATTTGAGTAGATCTAAAATTGATTACATCGAATGTAATTTTAGTAGTAGTAGCTCTAATGGCAAAGTTGTAAATATGGGTGATCAAAGCATTAAAAGTTGTGAACGTTTTAGATATCTCGGATCTATGTTCAAAGTGATAGTGATATAGATGGCGATGTTATTAGAAGACTCAAGATTGGTTGGTTTAACTGTAGGAATGCATCAAGTCTATTGTGTGATAGAAAAGTGTCGCTTAGATTTAAAGGAAATTTTTATAAGATGGTGGTGAGACCCACAATGTTTTATGGCGTAGAATATCGGCCTTTAAAAGAGAAGCGGAATACAAAGTTAAGTGTTGTTGAGATGAGAATGCTTAAGTTGGTGAGTGGCTTGACTCTTAGAGATAAAATGTAAAACAAACTTATTCATAAAAGGCTTGGTGAAGCTCCAATGGCAGACAAGAATAGAGAGTCATCTTAGATGGTTTAGCCACATTAAACGTAGACCATTTGATGATCCGGTTAGAAGATTTGATGTTTTATATTCAACTTATGTTAAGAAAGGCAGAGGTAGACCTTAAAAACTTAGGCATATTGTATAAAAAATGATCTTAATCTATTAGAATTAAATGAAAATATGACGTTGAATCGAATACAATGGAGAAAAATGTAGTCGGCTCACTTAGTGGGATAAAGGTATGATTTTGTTGTTGGCTCTTCGTCTTAAGAATTTACTAGTTAAAGAATAAAATTATGAAGCCCTAAAACCTATATTAGATCCAATATCTCCTAGTGCACAATTGTACTTATCTAAGTATTGAAATACTTCTCACATCACTCGATATCAATTATTTTCAAGGGAAACTAAGTCATTTTAATTTATTTAAAGCATTAGCAACTATCTATAAAATTCTAACTATTTATTGGAATTTAAACTAAATTTATTTTTAGAATCTTCTATTTTAGTATTTTTTCTATTTTTAGAATGTAGTATTGTAGGTATATTATAATTCCTATTTTCTTCTTCTAATATGGAGAATTATGGATGATTTTATGATTTTCTTAACATGAGAGTCTTCCACCTCTATTTATCTTGTAATTGTTTCCTATATAATTGAACATGAATAACTATGTTTCCTTCTCCAAAACTTATATTGTATCAAAGCATGTAAACGCGATTTAAGTCGCAATCAAAATTGCCCTAGAGTTCTCGATGAGGACCGAACTCGCGTCAATCTTCCAAAGGCCAACCTCGTGTCAATTGGGTGATTACAAAGTCTTCGATTGTGCGCCCTCTTTGGAAGCCTCCACC